TACCAATTACGATGCACCCAACCTCGAGACTTAGTTACCTTCACACAAGTGGGTCCAATGTTGAGATCTATAGCAGTTACCCGATAGAATACAAGTACTCTATATGATGATATCGGATATATCTATAATATCAGAAACGCGATCAACAGTCCGAAGTGAGTCCTCTAGAGATCGTTGGCTAAGTATAATTGACGAGGACTACTCCGTTGACAATTTAAGCTTTTCAAGTACTCCACATTGTCTTCTTCCCTGAAACCGAAGTGTCTCGTTTGGAATGCGATTCGGATAACGGGAAGGCATCGAAGATTGAATGTATGGGGTGCTCAACCTGAAATCATTTTTGCACGAGTATAGATATCTCGCACCCCGCAGAGCCACTTAAAGTAAGATACTTTGTTTAAAAATACCACCTAGTCATGATTCCGTCAGATCTCTTGCTGATCACCTGTTCACAACAGCGTGGCATCCATATATCTGGAACGTCTCTTCCGGCATTTTTCAATCCCGAGCACTTTCTCTCTCTTGGCGTACACATGACCATCCTCTGTGGCAAAGCATCGGTGTCAGGTATGGGTGGCGATATAGATACAACGGATCTGTGGCAAAGTCATTAATTTAATGATGGGACGTGGATCGGTGGCCATCTAATTGAGGCGCCACGTACTGGTGAAAAATGGCACCAAGTGATCTAACGATCCAATGAGAGACGGAAGGTGATACCACGGAGATCGACGGACTGATCCAATGGTCGGCCGAAGAATGGACGTGGAGAGGTCTGAGACGAGGCGCAGAAAGGGGTGATTTTCTTGGAACAATCTGGAACGAGTCGCAGACATAGATGATTTACACAAAGCGATCTGGGTTGAGGGACTAGATTAAAGCAGAAGACCTATCTGAACTGAGAAAGGCATTTCTAAGACCAAGCGATGCGATGCGACGTGGCTCTGTGACAAAGTTGTAGCATCCAGGTGATTGAAGATACACATCACCGATCTCCAATGGGAGTACTGATTTAGGTTAATTATGGACCGATCTGGAAGTGGGGATGTTCGCGGAGATCCGTGGGACCGTTGTGAGAATTGTGGATGGTCCCATTGTGCGGGTAAACCGTTGAGTATAGTATCGGAGTATGCACAATGAATGGAAAAGGCATATAGGGCCGTATCGCACTGTGTCGATCCTCAACGATCTCGAATTGGACATCAGATCGGTCATGTTCCCTGCTGGTTATGGATATATCGATGATGGAGCTATTGCATGATGATGTACATGCTTGTTGGAGACCCATGAGTGATGTCCTAAAAGTTCAGACCGAAAGAGCCAGTGGAAGCCGGTCGAAGTGACGTCGCAAAATGGATTTAGACACGTTCCACATCTTGGATACTATTTTGGACTTTTCGGTACCAAAATTGGGTATTTGGTACCATATTTGGAATTTAGTCCTTTTTTGGTGTCTAGGTGCGATATCGGGAGTATTGGCGCTATCTTTGGAGTACAGGTCACGAAACTTCGACACGTGGTCAAGGGGGCGGTCAAGATTAAAGGTGATATTGACTTGGACAGTGACCTACGGTTGTGAATAGCCACAAAGATAGGTCGGATATTAATTTGGTTGGTAAATAAACAGACTTGAACTCTACTTCTTCTGCTTACGACGCACGTTCTCCTCCCCTCTTCTCCGGGCAAGATTGATTTGGCTTCCCCGGCGGGTCAAAATACGCGTGTTACAGGGACACAGAAGACCGATCTTGGATTGTTGGCCAAGATCGAGAAGAGCGATCGCGGGACATCTGGCCCGGATCGATCAAGTACTCACACTCAACTCAACTGCTAGGGTAGCAGCCACACAACAAAGGAAAAGGAAAAGGATTTTGGACATAAGATCGCGAGACGGCTCAAGTGGTCAGAAGATCTGGACAAGGCGTTCAAGACAAGACCGAGCGAGATCGAAGCGATCTACTGGACATATCGGCGTGTTTCATTTTGGCGAAACGAAGAACCGATCTGTCCATATTGCGCACTTCCGGCAAGATCAACCGATCCCAAGACCAGATCGGACCGATCCCAACGCAAGATCGACGCAAGACTACTATTTGCTGAGTGAAGATTTCCGCACAGCAAAGACCCCGATCCCGAAGACGAATCAAGATCGGTGTGATTCAATATCGAGATCGCGACATCTCCAAATAGAGATCGCCGCGACTCAAGATCAGGATCGCAGAACCCCTGTTCGTGGTGTGAAGATTTCCGCACCGGAAGCGAACGCTCAACCCCAACCTCTCAGCGAGATCGATATCTCCTAAGGCCATTACAAAGAGCTCAAGCCAGCCCAACCGACGGGTACACAAGATGAGCACAAGGTTATACAGCAAGGCACGGATCGAAGTACCCCCTCCGTGAGTCGGCAAGTCTAGGCAAGTGAAAAATCGATATTCTCTAAAGTAATTTTGTGAGATCGACTTCACCACAGATCTGTTCAGCTGATACTTTTCGAGGAAAGAGGCATCTTAGTTCCGATCGATCTTGTGCCTTTTCCGATGGCGTGTTAGTCTGGGCAGCTAGCTTTCCGATATCGAGCGATTAATCGACAGATCCTTAGATAATCTATTAATGTTGTACGTATAACTTCCCGGCAGCAGCTTCGATCCAGTACAACTCATGTATACCAATAAATCACGCAGAGGGAGTATTGTCGAGCACGTAGAATAGCATGGCATACAATTAAGCTTCGATGTACAGGAACTCTGAGTCGTTTATAGTGATTTTCTTGCGTATGCATACGAGGATGTATGTGCATCATACGTGTTTCTTTTGTGGATTACAAATATTATGCAACCAGATACAGAAATGATGGGCAGGGCCTACGATATGATGATCGAGCTCCGTCATAAAGGTAAAGTAGACTCAATTCTGTTGGTATGGTACGATCACCAGCCACGCATAAAGTTGGCATCGGGTCCTGGGGCTCATTAGTCCTCTCTAACCACATAGTGATGTCCCCTAAATTTTGAGCGGTTACACACTTGATTAGATGGGTAGTATACAACAGAAACGTCGGAAACGCGACTACCACCGCTAATGAGTGGACAGCAGACAAGAAATGATTGATTAGATGCAAAAAAGATGAGCGTATACAATAGGAAATGTGGACACGCAATAGTCGCAATGACTTGTTTGCTACTTCGAGCGAAAGCGACCTCTAGTTCGTCCACCCATAATTCAAGAAAAATGGCAACGATTTCTTACAGCCTCAATAGAAGCGTGCACGAATACATAAATTGTAGTCCTACGAGTATGGCATCCTCCTGTAGGCGATGATTGAAATTGTCTTTGCACAAAGACAATACTTTTACCCTCGAGGTACAGATATATACCGCTTTGAATCTAGTTAAACACTAGACAAAAAATTAAGAGTTAGTGATTGGCCTGCGCTAACAGTATGTGTGTACAATAAGTGTAGCCTTAGATCACAATGGCATTATAAGAGATTACGAGCAGACATAATGATTGCCTATGATGCACTTGACACCATACACGCAGCTTTCTTGAGTAAATTATCCCATGATAGTATATGGATGCCTTGCTTGCCAAATGAAGAGTACGTCCCTGGGTTATAACAGAACTAGCGATGTCTATGCGAATCAGCAAACACTATTTGATCGCTGTCTTTTTAAGCGGTCATTCGCACACAAATGACAGGCCCTTGGATGGCAGAGGGAGCGACAGGGCCAGAGAAGTTTGTTGGAAGGCAAATATGGGGTGTGTGTGGTAAAAGTGAGAATGAATTGAATGCTAGCAATAGCGCGTGGCGCTCTACATATACTCTCTACTGCTACTCTGTGTGTCGCGAGCGCTCGCTGTGTATTACGTCCCATTCGCGTGGGTTCATACTGGCTGATTCTGGTATGGTTGGTAATGAAATGCAATGATCTGACAACTGGTCGGGCCATGTTGAAGTGGAGATGAAGTCTCAGTCATGCCACAACGACCAGAATGAGAACAGACACAATCTCAAACAGTTATGAAGGGTTTTTAATACATGGAAAAGCACACCCGGCCATGTTGATACATGAAACAAAGGTCAACTATTAGGTCGTCAGTGCAAGAGTTGCTAACGAGTTCAGCCTTTGTTATGGAAATGAAGATGAGTGAAGAGATTCGAGAAGCGTTTTCGATACTTTCATTTGTCTGGTGGTGTGGTGCACACACCAGTCAACATTGGTAAAATTGACGCTTCATTTCTAATTCGTAATATACCCTGCTGAACTTATCATCCTTAAGCTGCCGTGCGCTGGTGGTCTGATATGACCGATTTGTTGCGCAGACACACCAAACAAAACTGCATATCAACTTCCTATATATGGCCAAAACTGCGATCATACTCTTTCAGCAGAAAATTGTGATAGTCATATTCGTTACGTCACTTAAAAATAGATTGTGGAACGACTTTAGGACGATCTCATTCTTGCATATGTGTGACGTACCTACGCTCAATGGTATTGGGCAACGCTCGTTCGCTAGCAGTGGTCGAATAAATGGATGCAAAAACTATGACGTTGATATGCTAGACCGACACTTACGCCAGTCGTCGATATGCCACTACTCACTTCAGGATGCAGTTGACGTGGGCTACAGAAACATTTCGCTGCATGAATGTTTTAAATGGGTTATATTTGTGCGCTCCATGAACGCACCGCTTTAAAATCCTTGCGAAAAAACGACGCCGTAATTTACAGGGCCGTGCGGTCGCACAGGTTTTGTCGAATAGCTCGACCAGCCGACGTTTCGCGTGAATTTTGTCAAAAGCCTCCATCAGTGCACGAATTATGTGCGCTCTCGTGAAAAGGTCAAAAGAAGGATGCAATTTGAGTACGGACTCAAATGCGCGCAAACTATCCGCCGAACGAAGCCGTAAAATATCTTTCGCGTTTGGACGTACCACCGTCGTTGGTCATCTCGAAACTTACGACCGTTCAATTCCACGTCCAGTACCGACTGCGATGGGTCTGGGCCGCCTCCTGCGCCGAGCGACGTCCTTCCTGCTGCATCGAGACGCTCCTGCTGCAGCGCCTCCAATACGCCACAGAAGCAGTGCGCAGGAGCAACTGGGCGTTGCAATCGAAGAGCGCTTTGCGTGCAAATCGTTTCTATCGGACGCAGTGCCGGACAAGACGCTCGGAAAGATCCTCAGACTCACCTTAGTGAGTAATATACTATCGCACAGCAAGTCGGGCTATTGTAACAAAGCTGTGATTCTTCTTATATCGTTGTCTTCCCCCATCTTACCACAGAGAGCCCCCACGGGGTTCAATACGCAGCCGTATGCGTGTGTGCTCGTGCGTGAGCAGAAGGACCGCGACAAACTTGCCGAGGCTATGATGGGCGGTAACGCTCGCAAGGTCAAAGAGGCCCCGGTCGTTGCTGTTTTTGCAGCGGACTGCGGTAAGTCGAGAGCTATTGAGTGGCTGAAGCTCCGAACGATCGTCGGTCTGAGTCTCATCTTGTGTGAACGATTCAGAGCCAAGTAAGCGGATTCCGCGTCTGCAAAAGCTCGCTCATGAGAATGGAGCCCCTGCAGACGTGGTGACCAACATGCCCCACGTCGTGCGGCTCTTCTCGGGAGAAGGCGTGTTTGCTAGTTGTTTTCGATCGGTCATTGCGACGGCTGCGTCGCCGTTACTGCCTGCTCCGTCGAACGCGTCAACTGAAACCTGGGCGGTCAAGCAGACGACGTTTGCTGCTGCTACTTTCTTGTACGCAGCACAGCTGCACGGTCTTGCGACGTGTCCGATGGAAGGGCTGGATCAGATCCGCGTGAGGAATACGCTGGATATCCCGGACCGCTATACCGTGCCGGTGGTAATCGCCCTTGGTCATCCGAACCCGGCGACACTGCCAGAGAAACCATCTGCGCGACTGGACCCGACGGAGGTTTTCTTCGACGGTAGGTTTGGCGACTCCAGTGCGAAGATTTTCTCCAACAAGTAAGTCGCACGAATCCGGAGAGCTGCTGAGTGGCTGCGACGACTATTTGGCATCGACCAAGACGTGGACGTCAATATTTTTAGCAGTGTCGGCGTTGAGATATAAAAAAATGAAATGAAATGAGCACATTAAAAGTAACGTTCGTTGATGTTTGTTGACAACTCGACTCCCCGTCAAAAAGTGCTAGTCATGTTGCTGCGAGTGACCGTATACCGATCATCTTGTCAGTCTTTTACCTGGGCTACCTGCGTCGTAAGCTTGTGCAATGAAGTGGAGTGCAATGAACTTAGTCCGTATGATCAGTCCGAAGAGTAGGTACGCCAAATGCTCTGTTGGAAGCAATCGTGTTGTGTGACTCATCATTGTCCATCGAATGATCTTAGCAACTATCTGACCAAGTACGTTGAGTCTGGAAACGACGAGGGAATCAACAAAAGCTTTTTATTCTTCTCACAAAGCTCGTAGAAGTAGATTGATTCATGACAACTTCCGTGTGTCAGGTAAACTGCTTGTCACTTACAATCACCACGTTAACAGAGTCATCGAACTTTTCAGCTTTGTTCCAGTCGACACATACATACCAACTCTTGGCACTGTTCAACTACGCCACTACAGCATGACTCAGGCAGGTATCGGACTATATTAGTGCCAGCCCTACCAACTGAGCAATATTCGCAATAAACAGCGACTTCTGTAGAAGGAATTAGCACGAGACAAACGATTACAACGAAGCACACCATTTTCGATTTGGGTTCACTAGCTCCTGGCAATAAACATGTCCTGGTGCACCATCGAGTCCGATCCTGGTACGTGTGCAGTCGCTGCTTCGGCAACAACGTCGATCCGTCGTCGTGAACAAGTGCGGACGTCAGTCCATGCGTATTGCTGTAATCCCTCGTGCTGCTCTCATCATTCTCCATTTGTTCTCGCCCTCCTCTTGTGTACAGGTGTCTTCACGGCCCTCATCGAAGACATTGGCGTGCGAGGCGTACAAGTCGAGGAGCTCTACACACTGGACGAGCAGCAGTTTGCCGGTCTTTTGCCCGTCTACGGCCTCGTGTTTCTGTTCAAGTACGAGTCCACGCACGGAGAGGAAGCCGAGCGTCCAGTCTTTGCAGGAGACGAGGACGGCCTGTTCTTCGCCAAGCAAGTGATCAGCAATGCCTGCGCCACGCAAGCCATTCTGTCCATCCTGCTCAACGCACAAGACATTGAGCTGGGCGAGACGCTGTCTGAGTTCAAGGCCTTTACCAGCGACTTCCCGCCGGAACTCAAGGGCCTTGCCATCTCCAACAGCGAACAGATCCGACTTGCTCACAACTCCTTTGCTCGAGCAGAACCGTTTGTGGAAGACGAGCGGAAGGCGACCGAAGGCGATGAAGCGTTCCACTTTATCGCCTACGTACCCGTACATGGCAAGGTTTACGAGCTGGATGGGCTCCAGGAAGGTCCCATTTGCCTCGGCAATGTGCCTGACGAAGAAAAGCGCGAGTCCTGGCTGCAGGTTGCGTGTCCTGTGATCCAGAAAAGGATCGAGAAGTACGAGCAATCTGAGATCCGCTTTAATTTGCTGGCGCTCGTGCGGAACCGGATTCAGACGTATGAAGAGCAGCTCCAGGCGGTCGTAGAGGCAGGTGGATGTGAACAGCAGGCGGGACAGATCCAAGTAGACATTGCGATGGAGCGACAGAGGCGCGAGAACTGGGCGCTGGAGAACAAGCGTCGCAAACACAACTACATTCCACTCATCGTCCAGCTGCTCAAGACGCTAGCCGAGAAGAAGCAGTTGGAACCGTTGATCAAGCAGCAGCTTGACGCTGGCGACCGCGCTGCAGTTGTAAACTCCTCGACCACCTCGTAGCAGCAAAGCGATAACAAGAGAGAGAGAGCGAAACCAAGACGAGTGGAAAAGTCGGCAGAATGATCCATTATTCCGTCTGCGAGTTGCCGTGTTCGTTGCCAAAAGCGTTAGCAAGTGCTCACTCATTGCGCGTAGATGCAAAGAGGCCGCGCGTGTTACTCTAACTGCGTCGGCCGTCTTCATAGTCACCGACTACATACACGCGATATGGGGTCTTCTAGTGTCCGCCACGCAGCTGCAGCACCATGTGAATGGTCCCACCTGCTTCGACATTATAGTCCTGCAGCGTCTTGTCGTCCGCGCTACCGAAAAGGCACCACACAAATGGAAGTACCATCAGCACCCACTTAATCCCAACTCGCGTCGGACTACGTACAGCTGCTTGCCACTGTAGATGAGACGGATCTGGTCCACCTGGATGCCCTCCTTCTCCTGCAACGCTTGTTTCACGTGCAAAATCTGCATTGACAACGTTCGCAAAGAAGAAAATGGGACAACGGCGTCAAAAGTGCTTTTTCAGTGAAAACAGACGTCCACTTTGTCCTCCCCAACAACAACGACAAAGAGAAAAAGCCTTCGACTGCTGTACCGTGTTGTCCGGTTCAAAGTTGAACGTCTGCCTTCGACCCGTGAGCGTCTACGCGAGTAAGAGAGAAAGAGAGTCCGCACGTATCAACCGCACAGCTCGCTCAGCCACATGCCCACAGCTCTGCACTAATATCTGCGTACCTTGATCTGGATTTGCATTCCGTCGACGTATTTTGTGCTTTTTTGTTGCGTGAGTTGCTTTGTGTGAAAAGAAAAGTATAAATGAGAGCGCGTGGATGGGCCCATCTTTTTGGTACGCTGGGTCGAAATCTCGTCGTTGACACACCATGTGCACACCACATTCGCATCGACGCAAGTTAGCAGCTACGCCCATGTTCTCGCTCTTTTGGGGGCTATGGAGCTATTTATTCACGAGGGCAGAGCTCCATCTGCTGATCGTGGGGCTGGACGACGCGGGCAAAACGGTAGGTACGTCCACCGGTTCGAATTGACACTTGCGTGGTAAGAGCGTCTGACTTTGGATGGAATGGGGGTCGACACAGACGCTTTTGGAGCAGCTCAAAGGGATCTATAGCAAGAAGCCAGGCATCCCACTTGACAAAATCCCACCCACGGTGGGACTCAACAGTACGTCACTGTATCTGAGTGTGCAGTCGAAACGACAAAGAAGGACTGACGTTGACCTGTGTACTATGCAGTTGCTCGAGTTGATATCCAACGATCCCGAGTCATTTTCTGGGATCTGGGAGGACAGGTAATGGCCAAAATACAGATATAAAGTGCCCTCGGAATGTCGACGTGACGCTCTGTGCGAACAACTGTTTGTCCTTTCAGGAACGTCTTCGAGCGATCTGGAACAAATACTACAGCGAGAGCCATGGCGTCGTGTTTGTGATCGACTCGGCCAATGAGCAAAGGTTCCAAGAAGCCAAAGAGACACTGCGTACGCGGTAGTGTAGAGGGATGAGAGCGTTTGTAACTGCAGCGGTTAACCAGACGTCGTCTTTTGTTGTAGACGCAATGCTGTCAAATTCAGAGCTGTCGGGCGTGCCGCTGCTGGTGCTCGCCAATAAGATGGACCTCGAAGGCGCGAAGACTGTGAGCTACATTACGGAGACATTGGATGTGGAAGCACGTCCAGGCAGCGTGGCGAGCTACCCCATCTGCGCATTGACAAGGTGAGTGCAGCAGTGGCGAGGCATTGTGGGTAGCTGGTCACTCTTGTTGTCCCGTTCGTGTGAAGGGAGGGCATTGAAGGCGCGATGAGCTGGCTGGTAAATGCTGTAACATCGAGCGACAGGTTCTACGAGAAGTCGTCAGCTGCAGCTGGCACGTGATTGACCCACTCGGTCGACGGCAAGGGCGCCGACGTGCCAGACGCTCGCTCATCTATCATCACGTACACGAGAAGCTAGTAGCACGATACACAGATGTACACGTAGCGCTGCATAGAAGCATACTTTCCTCACATAAGCTCGAACGAGAACAGCTTGCCCGTTCACACACATCAGACAACAGTGCTTTCATCGTCGGGATCGCTCCCCTTTCTGCCTCTACCGTTGCAGCTCTGTCCACACGTCTACAAGTTGCGCATACGCGCTAGCGTGCTGAGCTCCACAAGCGAGTGGCCTGTCCGAAGAGCCTTCTCCTCTGCTGTCTCGTGCTTGGCGAGTGCGTCGAACGTGGCTTTCACGACCGTAAAGGGGTTGCGCTGGCCATGCGTCTTCGACACGACGTCCGTGATCCCAAAACAATCAAGCACACAAGCCACAGTGTCGCTCACGGTCAGTCCCTTGTCCTTCGGTGTCGGACGCAAGAACAGCGTACAGCTGTTCCACTTGCCGCGCACTTCATGGTACAACGTACGGTCATCAAAGCGGTCAATGTAAGTGAACCGCTTCAGAGCCAGCTTGGTGCCTCGCTCGATCGCCAGCGGAGGCGACGAGCCTTTCCCAACAGCATAGCCCGCCACGCCACGCATGTTGCCCACGACAACGAGCGCCCGAAAGTTGACAATGCGCTCCTGCTTGGTGACTTTCTGTACCTGGTCCACGTGCACGATCTGGCGCAACAGCCCCATCTGACCGAGATTCAGCTCCCCTTCTTCTTCGTCGTCGGCAAACTCCATCTCGTCGGCTTCTTTGTTCATGCCACGAATGTCGCGCAAGAGACCCGTGTCGGGCGTCAGGTACTGCCCGGGCTGGTCGACGTCCGCGAGCGTGATGCCGTCCTTCTTGAACTCGTCCAAGAGCCGACGACGGACTTTGCCGCGGTTCTCCGGGGCAACAACCATGAACCGGCTCTTCTTGGCCGCCTCGGGCATGATCTGGCGACGGGGCATCGAGTCCCGACGGACTTTGTCGATGATCTTGTCCGGTCCTTCGTCAAAATCGTCGTCGGAAATGCGCCAGTCGTCCTCCGACGAGAAACAAACGGCCTGCAGGTGCACGACAGCGACGCGGCCTTGATGCTGACGGCGGTACGCCCACGGGGCGGAGCGGGAACGCGTGAGGAATCGCTGCAGCATCGTCGCGCGTCGGTGCCAGAGCTGCTGCGTTCGTTGATGGACCGCTGCCAATGGGCCAAACGGGACGCGGCGATTGGTGGAAAAGGCGAGTGAGTGGCGCTACACAGCGAGTGGCCACGGGACCGCGGAGCGAGTGAGGTGATTGGAGTATATAACAGCTGTTTTGGCCAATCGGATTCTCGTGTGTGGCGGTACATTCAGCTACGAAGCAAACACACTCTTGCAACATATGAACACCGCCACTTCGACGACGCAGCTACAGGAGCGCGTTAGTGTGTGTGCGTGTGTAACACTTTTTATACCATGAGCTTTGACCCGATCTGTTGCAGCGCTACCCGAGACGGACACAGACTAAAAAAAGCAAAAGTGGAACAACTTTTGAGCGCTGTCGACAACAAAGCTGCTTGGAAGTCACTTGGGCTGCAAAACCGACACGAGCAGATGACGTATGTCGTGGAGACGTTGTCAAGGGAGAAGCGGGAAATAAAAAAAATACCCCATTCAACCACGAGAATACAAAAGGGCAATATAATTGGAAAATAAAATATACCCGATACACTCACCCCTCTCGAAAGAAACAACTTTGTACCTAATTTTTACAGCGTGTCTCATAAAAGTCTCTTGTAGAGAATCTGAAAGGAAAAAATGCATAATACTTTTTAAAGCGTGACCCGCCGAATATAATGAAATGTAACGTTTTTCAACTATATGAAGTCTCTCATGTCGAGCTGTTTCGCCCTAGCGTGCCGGTTCTTGCAAATAACCGACGACATCTTACCCAGATCTGACTCTATGATCCGCGTGTCCTCAATTGAGCGCATAAAGTACGAACGCAATAGCAGGCAGCACTTTAGTGCTTCTTTTGCACTGACAGGCGCTTGATCTTCGTCGCTTTCGACTTCCGCGGGCTCTACTTCTGCTTCAATCAGAGCTTCTTGTTCTTCCTGAATCAGCTCGTGGTGCTCGATTTCGACATAATCATCCACGCTAATGGTTACACCAAGCTTTTATAACATATCAGTCAGATCGTAGTAGTCTTGTCGGAAGGCGAGGCTAGACTGTCGATAGTTGTTTTCTGCACGCAAATCCGCAACCTGTGGCGCTTCGATGATCCCACTCTTGATCCGGCAACTTCGAATGGTCTCCATGCCAATATCGTTCCAGCTCTCAGCTGCAAACTCAATGGCTTTTAGGACATAAAGTCTGCGTTCAATGTTTGCTTCGATGAGATCCATGCGCCATCGCATATGAAGTTTCTTGTAGCGAGATTTATACGATCAGGTGATACCTATATACTGAGGGTAAGTCACTAATTAAATGATGGGACGTGGATCGGTGGTTACCCAGTTAGGAAGTCACTTACTGGTGGAAAACGGGTCCATGGGACTTGGCGGTCCAATAACTAGATGGAAAAAGATCTCAACGGGGATCGGCGATCTGGTCCAACTGTCGTCAGACTGATGGATACGGATCGACCTGAGACGGAGCGATCTGGGACAAGCCGACAAATAGAACGATTTCCATGGAGCGATCTGGGACAAGGAACTAAGACAAGGATCTGGGGCCAGGTGATGTGAAATGACTCGGTGACGAAGGTGTAACATACTGCAGATCGGTGACGCTCTCTACTGATCTCCCAAAGGGAG